TTAGGGAGCAGGCCTAAGCCAGCAAGTGGTCACCCCCGAGGGGTCCCAGACTGCGAGAGGGCACAGGCCGGGCTGAGGGACCCCTACCCCTGAGTGCACAAATTTTTGTGCATCGGGCCTCTAGTACATATATAAAGTCTTATCAGTTCTTCAGTCTGTATTCAGGCCTTTAAGAATTTCAAGTTTGCCCCCAAATGGTAATCAAATGCTAGGACATCAATAGAACTTGGAAAAAAATGTACAGAGTATAGAATATCTTAATTAGACATGCTTACTTACCATAAAGCTACTGAAAATTTTTTAAATGTATTTAAATATGCAGCTGGAAAGGTTAAGCATAAAGGACCTCCAGCTAATCTAAGTAATATCAGAAAACTAAGATTTTAATATAAAAACAGAGACCAGAAAGTTATCTCAATGCCAGCTGCAGTGTTAATGATACTTATAAATACATAGATAATAAACTGGCTAAAGATGGGCCCAGAAACAAATTAGAAAGCAAAATGATTTGAAGATGGTAAAATTTCCCCATGGATTTATTGGAAAATAAAAGTTACTAGGAAACTCTCAGATTCCTATGTGGTGAGACATAATCCTGTTCTCATAAGAGGGGTATGTATACACAGACATAGACATTACTAAGTAAGGTCATATCAACAAACATTTCCCAAGTGTCTACTAGTTGTCTAGCATTGTGTTAGTCTTGTGGGATAAGGAAAGATGATTCAGTTTCTGTTCTTAGGGTCTTCACCATCTATTAGGGAGATAAGATTTACAGACGAGTCACAAAATAATAAGTATATAGTCAAGAGTGAAATTCTCTTTTGGTTTTCATTTCCTCAGTTAGCTTATAAGTTGATAGACACCTTAATTTGTTTCCTCACTGGTGAGACGGTCAGTGAGCAATACACAAGAACTGCATTTTAACAATAGCAAACATTTACTGAGCATGTACTATGGGCCATGTTCTTTATCCATATTTTCTTTCATTTAGTCATTATAACACCCTATGGAGTAGATATTACCAGCTCCATTTTACAGATGAGAACACTGAGGTAACATGAAGTCCTGGGATTCAAATTCAGCTCTGTCTGGAACCAAGGACTGTATCTCAATATCACACCGTTTCATCCTTCTAAGCAGTAATACATATTCATCCTATAGAACAGCACCATGTTGTTTTGGAAAAACTTATGCAACCAGGGAGCTAAGTCATATTTAAAGTGAGAGGCAAAACAATTTCCAAGGAAATCAATACCATCAATATTAAGTGAAAGCCTCTTTTTTAACTCAGCCACTCAATATTTCAAGTTTGTCATAGCATCACTTCTGCAGAGCTGATTAATTTTTGACACCACCAAAAGTTTTCAGGATTCAATTTAAGTCTGATTTATGATTCATTTGACCATCTTGAAACAAAATGGAGGACTAAAATTTTTTGCTAATGGGCATACTTTCTACAGTGTCTAAATCAGATTTTAGTGAAATGTGATACCCGGGCAAAAGCTGGAGATGCATAGTCTCGTATGGGCTTCTTTAAGGTAAGTGGAGCCAAGCTGTGGTCCCGCCCTCCAGGCTGGGCTCTAACAATTTAGGGCACTCATTTCACCCTTATCTGGAGATGTCACAGCTGAGGAGAAATCCCATATATCTGAATTAGATGCGTTTTAAGCTTTATTCCACAAGATAGACTCAAGGTTGAAATGTTGCTTGTTTATAACATTGGCAGCAGCAGCAGCTTGCTCAAGGCTTACGGAAACAAAGGCCTGTATTCTTCTGTTCTCCAAAGGGGCATAACATTGCACCTCTATTATGTTTCAAAGACAGAAAAGACCATTTGCAGTAGAGATGCTCATGTAACAATCCCATACTCAAGTTAGCATTTTTACTAATGTTCTTTGAAAACTCAGACATGTCTTTTTCTCTTAGGGTTAAGTTGTTATTATTTTGATGTAGTTGGAACCTGAAAGGGCTTAAAGACTATAAAATTCATCCCTGGCCAGTTAGTTCACTTAGAGCATTGTCTCGATATGCCAAGGTTGTGGGTTCAATTCCCAGTTAGGGCAAGTACAAGAATCAACCAATGAATGCATAATTAAGTGGGACAACAAATCGATGTTCTCTCTCTCTCTCTAAAAAAGTCAATTAAAAAAAAAGACTATAAAATTCAGCTCCATGCAGTGTGGGTCATTGCAAAGTTTACTACCTCCTCTGTAATTTGATTTGGGGCAGCACCTCTACTTTTAGGTTTTTAGGCTCTTTTGAGGCAAGACTGCCTTATTTCTGAGGTCTTCAAAATAGCTGGGATGGCAGGGAGAGCTCTTTATCCGCAAAACTGCTAATGAAAAATGACCGAATGTGCTATTCACTCAACATTTATTAACTGAGGACTTACTACACTAAGGCTAGGGAGCTTCAAGGACCTTCATTAGGGCAAAATTTTCAAGGGTGATAGCTAGACATCACGTGGCTCGAGACGAAAGGTATACCGTAAGCCTGTGGGTGTATTCCTGGAGCACAGTATGCATGTGATCCCCAAGGTCATGAGAGGGTCTTTGGGGAAAGACATATGCTATTACAAAATTATCACAATGCAGAACGCTTCTAATTATATATTTGGAAGCAATTCAAATGACTGGTTTGTATTTTAAGCAGTTGAACACTGACAAAGCCTCTTTATGTTCCACTGCAACGGCAATGAAGGAGACTCTATTCCATTTGACACTATGGCACAGCAACTCCCCCTTCCAGTGCACCACTAACCATTTGCATTGCTTTTCTGTGTCTAAGAGAAGCCCAGCATTTTCTCTTCCGCAGCCCTGCCACTTTCTCAAATGGATACAAGCTGTTGTCGCTGTTGTTCCCCAGGGAGCTGCAGGGCAGGCACAGGGGGCCAGAGAAGAGGAGCCAAAAAACTGTCTGCAAGATTTTTCCTGGCTTTCTGTCCATATTGTGCTTCTTGTTCCCACCCCTGCCCCTTGCTGAGAGAAAACATTGCCTTTTGGAAGGACAGATGGTCCACATATATCTAATCAGCGTTTTTTTAACTGGTATGCCTCAAGAATTTTTAAAACATGCAATACCTGACTATTTAGTCAGGGGCATTGACCTCTTTTCCCTTAGATTGTCAAATTAAAAAAATGACAACAGCCAACACAACAATAGTCACTCGGTGTGAATGAGTCAAAGAGTCAAAATCATACCTAAGTTTTTGGTCAGATTGGCAAAAAAATATAACATTTTTTGGTGTGCCGCAGAATGTTAGTAATCAGTTTATGTGTGCCATGAGACAAAAAAGATGAAAATCGCTGATCTAGATGAAATGATTTAAGGAAGATGGGAAGCCAGGAAGAGAAAAAAAAATGAATTATAAACGAAAGTCAAGATAAGATTAGAAAAGTAGTAAAAGGAAAAAAAAATCAGTGTCTGCAAGTGGGTCTTGATTTATTAAAGACTTTTGAGGTTAATATATTCCAACAAATGTATTCTCTATTATACAATTTCTTTTCTGAAGACTGTCTATCCCTCAGAGTAAATCCTGCCCTTATACAAGTATTTCAAAATGATAATTTTCTTGATAGGATTTTACTAGTTTCTGAACTGTGCAATTCGAGTCCTTGAGATTACTGAACACCTCTTTATTTTTCAACCTGACAGTATTTGGCTTTTGAGATCTTAGCCATGACACTGCTGCTATTACCAGGAGTCTCAGAGCAACTGTCTGTTATGTCCATCAAAAGGAAAAACGATTACAGGGGCAGGTCTCTACTGCAAACCCATCCAGTGGGCATGACATACACATGCTAGTTTGAATATGAATCTCTGTCTTCAATTGGCAGGGGACATCAGAGAGCACCAGGCCAAATTGCCTGGGGCCTGAATTTTTTTTGATCTCTAAATAAAAGATGTATCTTCACTGTCAACACTAATAAGGTTGTCTTTCGGCTAACTGGTGAGCCAAGGAAAAAGACTCATAATTTAGAATCGAGACAACATGGTTCAGTGTCCTCATCTAGGGCCAAAACAA